TATATATAGTAAATAATAGTGTTTCCCCAATGTAGTAACTTAAATTAAGTTCCTTAACAGCAACCCAGTAATGTGAGGCCCGTGGAGGGATGTATAAGGTTTGAAGCGTGGGGCGGCTAGCAGGAAATGAAAGAATCAAAAAAAAGGAAACTTCTAGATTGTTCAGTGTTTGTTAGGGCATGGAGAAGTGGATCCCTACAGTAGTCCTTAAATCATCTCTAACAATGGGGCGGAGGATTTTTGTTTACAAGGTTTGGCTCAGGGCTTGTTTTTAAGGGTTTGTTTGGGTTAGGGGGCCTCCAGGGTTTAGAGTTTAGGGGTTTAGGGGGCTTAGGATTGTAAGAAACTAAGCCGAACCACAACCGCGCCAAACCTTTAAAAAAGACTGGCCTTCTAACACATGTCACCAGAACCTACTCCTTGATTCTCTCTTAACAACCAGTAAGCCTACTACAACACCCCGAAATCAGCGCTTCTGAGCCGTACCACCCATGCTTCGAACTACTGCTGACGCAAGTAATCTTGCAAAGCTGGGGGCCTTCAGTACCTGCTATAGTCGCCCTTAAGTAGATAGGATATGGGGTATATTGTTGAGGTTATATGAGGATAGTGGAATAGAAAATGGAAACTACTACATTGTAATAGGGTATATATTGGTGTTCCTAAGAATTCCCACATCAACAACACTGAATACTGGAATTACAGTTGGCCATTATTGCAGCTATCACTGGAGTTGCCGCTGGTGAACGTATCGAAAACATTCAGGGCCTGATGACACTATGGCAAATGTTGCAACTGGTTGTGCGCCCTTGGTTAACTACTTCCCATGGTTAAAGGGGGCTTCCAAAAAAAAATTGGTACCTTTTTTGGGGGTCCCTAAAACAAGTTTATAGTATTTCGGGGTCTATATCTACCAAATTTGAATGTAATGGGATTCAGAAAAAGGGGCGGGGTGGGGGTGACGATGTGGAGGCCTGAGAAATTTCCAGCATTTTCCTAATAGCCCTCACATGATTACAGCAGATTATACCTCAAAACCCTTTAAACCCGAAACCCTAGACCCGAAACCCTAGAACCCTAAAACCCTAAATCCTAGACCCTAAAACCTAAATCCTTAACCCTATGTAAACCTCCGGCAAACGCACCTGGCCCGTGTGCACGGACTCCCGATCTCTAAGCAGGAACTTGATGAGAGCCTTGCTGAGGCGCAAGAATGGCACCTGGGGACAGCACAGGTGCAGAGAAAAGTGTTTAGGATTTTGGGTTTTAGGGGTTAGGGTTTAGGGTTTTAGGGCTTTAGGGTTTTAGGGGATTAGGGGATTAGGGCTTAGAGTGTAGGGTGGTTTCCAAAATCAGCAGGCCGTTGGGCTTTCCCAGGCTAAGTAAGGATTTGAATTATTTGTAAGGGAAGTGTGGAGGCAATCTATATGTCCGAGGGAACGAATTTTTGGAAACTTACGTACTAACCATCATTGTCACTGCTATTGTTACTGTCACTCATCTCTTGTTTTCACTGGTATTATTGTTACGCTTTTTCCTAATGTTACGAATACCGTTCTGATTACTGCATGTTACTTGTTGTTCCTTACATTATGAACTCTGCATGCAAGGTTTCTGCCACGCGCGCATCCAATCTCGAACTTCTACAAGGCTTGTCTGCGTTGGCTCCCCAACAGGGGGGTCCAATAATCTTAGACCGCTTGTTGGGGAAGGTACCTGCAAGAATTCTAGATAAGGGTTTAGAGTTTTAAAGTTTAAGGCGTTTTGGGTTGGGGGTCTGGTAGTATATGAGGTCTGTCTATACTGGACATCCCCCAAATCCGAGGGGTCTTAAAACTTAAAAGCACAGATAGGCTGAGGTAACAGTTCGAATGACAGGAATACTGGTAGTTGATGATGACATTAGTCAGGAAGAATAAGACCTCAGAGTTGCAGTAATCAAAATCATGATGATGCTATTTGGCAGTTTCTGCAAGTAGCCGGCGGACCCACATACTACGATCGGTACCTCTCGTTCCGAGAAACCCCATTTCTCCTGGTGCTGCACCATATAAATCCTACTACCCAACTCCGAACCTAAACCGTAAACCGTAAACCCCGAACCCTAAACCCTAAGCCCTGAACCCGAAAGATTATGATGGCAACGACAGCAAGGAGTGGCCGGGCCTGCTTCACCAGGAGAAGCGCCACGAGGTTCCCGAGAGCCTCTTAGTCAGTTTAGGGCTTAGGGTTTAGGGTTTAGGGTTTATCGACTTAGGGTGTAGGGTTTAGGGCTTCGAGTTGCACTTTAGGGCTTATGGCCAAGAGTTTACGGTCTAGGGTTCAGGGTCTCGGCTTCCGAGAGCCTTGTAGTCAGCCTCGACACGCTCCAAGCCGCAAGCCAAGTTCTGTTGTTGGTAGAGGCATGCCTAACGTTTGGAGGAAGAATTGAATTTTACGGGGCCGATTCAGTTACTAATTTGATTTGTGGGGTAGTTGAGGTACCCTTTACCATCATCATAAAGGAATCTAGGCCCAGAAAGTTACAAATTAGTTGAGTTTCTACATTGAGCTTCAAAAACTCGGGGGTACGCGGGAATCATGAGAAAACCATGGGACTGATATAGGGATGATTCAACAGCGGCAAGGCCCTAAACCCTAAACCCTAGACCCTCAAACCTAAACCCTAAGCCCTAATCCCTGAACCCTCACTCTTCAACCATAACCCTGAACCCTAAACCTTCAACCCTAAACCCAACCCTAAACCCAACCCTAAACCCTAACCCTAAACCTTGAAGCCTAAACCCTAAACCCTAAACACCCAGCCCTAAACCCTAAGCCCTAAACCTAAAACCCTAAACCCTAAACCCTCAACCCTAAACCCCTAACCCCAAACCCTAAACCTTCAACCCTCAACCCTAAATCCTAAACCTTTAACCCTCAACCTTAAACCATCAACCCCCTAACCCTAAACCCTTAACCCCAAACCTTAAACCCTCAACCCCAAACCCTAAACCCCCTAACCCTAAACCGTTAACCCTAATCCCAAATCCCTATACCTTCAACCCTAAACCCTTAAACCCCTACGAAGCTGGCACCTCGTAGTTCAGGTGGTAGGCAGGCTGCGCAACATCCGCGTCCCACAACGTCAAGAACGGCCAGGCCCTATCACCAGTTGCCAGCCGAACCTGGGCCGCTCTGAAGGAACTTGGGGTTGTTTAGGGTTTGGGATTTAGG